GAATAATGGATATGTAAACAAGCATGCCCAGCTCAGCGGAATGAGCATATCCGGGCTTTCAGAACTAAATATCGAATGCAGCATTAATTTCACAGCCAATTCCTTTAAGGTGCCTTCCACATATGCTGTCCCACGCCCACATTTGCCATGCCTGTGAATTCCATCGCCTTTGCTGGCAGCTGAGAGCTGGACCGTCTCTCTGAGACACTGCGCAATGCTTTAGCGTGGTGGGATGCTTATATCTGGCTTCGGTATATTTAACTCCACCTCTCCTGTCTGTCGGGAAAGGCTGTGTCCTTTGTGTCCCGTCCTGCAGTTTCTGCATCCTAATGGACGAAACAAAAATGGGATTCACCCCCAGGAGCTAGCAGGGACAAATGTTGAGCTAAGACATTACAGATTTCCTCCCTGATATCGATAAAGTTCATCTTAATCTTAGATGTAATCTTAATGTTAGTGAGGTAATCATAATCAGCAGGCTGGAACACAGTTGTCAACAATAATAGCTTTGCCCTTTCACTTGGAAAAAAAAAACAAAAGAAAAAAAATATATTGCAGCCACAGCAAGAGTTGCAGGTTGCGGGATGCTCAGGTAACAGAAGAGGACCCTTGGACTTCAGCGGCAAATCCTCTTGCGGGAGGTAGGGAGGCTGCAGTAAAACGCTCAGACTTGACCTCTTTCTCACAAAATGACTTTGAAGTCCCATCAGTCTCTGAAGTGCAGACCTGGATTAGGGCGGCAATCCCGGCGGACCGCTTGTCTCGGAATCCAGGCTCTTTCGCCCCCAGGCGGACTCGCATCTGGAAGCCAAAGCTCTTAGAGGCTCTGTGGTGTCAAGCACAACAGCGGCCTGAGATTAGCGCGACATTCTTGGGATAAGGCGGCTCTCCTTCCAGGCACGCTGCAGGCGGTCAGCCTCACAGTGGTGGAACAGTGGACAGGTCGTGTTCACTTACATGCTTCCTCTGGGCCGGAGATATGCTCACGATACTTAGCAACTGCATCCCAGGATACCACTCAGCCACTGATTTCTACAGAAGCAGTGGAAAGGGCAAAGCCGCTTTTTTATGACTTGTTACTGTTATTATTTATTTGTACGTTTATATTCCATGTGGGAATAGGGAGCGGGAGCTGTGCTGGAGCTCGGTCAGACTCAGCTTTGCTTAACCAGGGCCCACAGACTTCTGCAGCCTGGGCTAACGGCACCAGGATGATTTCGGGTCTCAGAAAATCCATGAAAAATACATGCATTAGGGAAGCTAATGCAGCAACATGAACAGAACAGCCGTTCTCCATAGACCCAGTTTTATCAGGACAAAGTTCCAGTCGCAGCTATAGCACGTGTTCAGAATAATTTTGCAAGAAATTGGTTTTTAAATTAAGATTCTTACTTTGGAGAAAAGTGTTTGGCTTGCCTGGGGCTGATGTGTTCGTGTTCCTCCTATGCACTTGCTCCGGGGACAGGAGTACGCATGTGAGATCTGAACAGTCTGCATCATAGAGGAGGCCAATAATGAGCATTAAGCTTACGCTGTATTCAAAAGCACTATGTAAACTTGGTGTAAGGGCTAGTTTAGTTTTGAATGCTTTAAAGTGCATTGTGAATGTGACATGCAGTAGATGAACACCCACTGCAGCACATCGATGATGCCCCGCGGTCATTGATAAAGACCGTTTCTGCATCTGAAAAGCGACTGTACTTTGGTTATGCTGCCCGTGGCGTGCCCCTCCATTCTCCCTGCATCTGTTGATGCACCAAGGCGGCGCGTGGCGCTGCCAGTGCGCGCCCGTATCATTGTCAGATTAGTTGTCATTGACGTCCACTGTCATATGCATAGTCGTCTCCATGGTAACAGAACTCAGAGCGAATAAGTGAGCGAGAAACTGCCTTATATTCTATGGGAGGGGTGGAGCTCTGTGTCTGATACCCAGGAAGCGAGTAGATGAGCAGTACTGCTTCCAGTGGTATTCAGAGGGAAATTCACATGCAGTGGGTGGGGGGAGGTGACTGTTTGCCCCTCGGGGGCCTTGCAGCTTTCTCACAAAGCAGGCCGATGAGAGCCTCAAAAGCAGTCATTCTAGACCAGTTCAGGACTGGGACTCTGAAATGAACAGGGATTCAATGGGCTCATGAAATTAGGAAAACAGAAAGAAGAAATTATATTTTACATTTTTATCCTGCACGTGGCAGTAATACAAGGTAACACAAAGAAAAGTGCAATATGAAATATGCAAAGAAAGGGTGATTTAGTTTCCCATTCATGCAAAAGCAGGAAAAAAGGAGCTTCGTCTTAAAACATTGATTATTGAAACATTCTCAAGGCCTCTGTCATAAACTTCAACTGCAGATCGGTTTGCAAAACAGCATATATCATTATTACAGTTCTGAGTCTCAAAACACAAACTGCAGACTGTAAAAGTAAATTGCATCAAAAACATATTCATGCATTTTTCAGTGATTTTTTTTTAGTGGCTCGAAGAACTAGCACAGCTGACTAGTCCCCAGGTCCCTGCTTGCATGATCACACTCCACACTGCAGTCACTGCAAGTGAAACTGCTACATAATCAACATTTTTTGTAAATATTATTTTGTGATCATGAATATTATTCTTATTATTCACCTGTCTTGTTTCTTTGTTGCATTTCTCAGTAGCCAGTGATGATTTAGAACTGACTGCTTATGAAATCTGTATGTAATGAGTGTGCACGACAGACCTCTGAATTATTTTTGAGACGTTTTCTTTAATCCTGGATATTCAACCCCTTCACCTCAAAAGACATGATAGTAATGTAGATGAAAGATAGTGACAATAAATGACAAAAGCAAAAAACTCATTAAACAACAAAAAAGCATTTATTGATATATATCTGAGTTAATTTAACAACAGCAGTCAACTTTGAAGATCAAATGAAAAATGTAGCACTTAACACATGTGCATGTGCAGTATTATTCAACCCTCTGCTTCAGTACTTTGTGGAGCATCCTTTAGCTTTTATAACTTCCAACAAACGTTTTCGGTAAGTGCTGACAAGCTTCTTACGCCTCTCAATTGGAATCTTTGCCCATTCTTCACATGCAAAAGCCTCTAGCTCAGTGATGTTTGATGGCCTCCGTGCTCCAACTGCCTTGTTTACATCCCACAAAAGATTTTCAATCGGATTTAAATCTGGTGACTGAGAAGGCCACTCCAGGATGTTCCTGGATCTTTTTCTCCACCAAGCTTTGGTTGATTTGGAGGTGTGCTTGGGATCATTGTCTTGCTGGAAAGTCCAATTATCACCAAGGTGCAATTTGTCAGAAGTCATCACATTTCTCCTTAAAATGCCCTGGTATTTCTGGGAATCCATGATGCCAGGTACACAATCAAGACTCCCGGTTCCTGCAGCAGAAAAACAACCCCAGATCATCAATGACCCACCTCCATGCTTGACCGTGGGGATGGTATTCTTCTGGTCAAAAGCCTGGCCTTTTACATGCCAGACATACTGCTGGTCCAAACAGTTCCAGGTTGGTTTCATCAGTCCATAGAAGTCTGGAGTCTTATCCAAATTTCTCCTGGCATATTCAAGTCAACTTTTGACAGTCCTTGAGGTCAGGAGTGGAGTGCGTCTTGGAGTCCGGCCATGAAGTCCTTGTTTATTCAGTGCACATCTTATAATTGCCACTGAAGCACTTGTACCAGCCTCCATCAGGTCATCCTGTAGGTGTCTTGCAGTCACATGAGGGTTTCTCTTAGTTGTCCTGACTACGTTGCCAAGGGCACGATGAAATTTTGGGCTGTCTCCCACAGCTAGGCAGTTTTGTAACTGTTCCATGAGTTTTATGAGAACTTCCTTATTATGATCCCAATGGTGTCTCTTGGAATGTTAGATGTTTTGGACATCTTCTTATACCCAAGGCCCTTCAGGTGTGATGAAATAATCTCCTCTCTCAGCTTTTGTGGAATGTCCATTGTCTTTCTCACGATTGCAGTTCACCTTGAATACCTTCATGGGTGGGGTTTATATATGCATCACAGCTGAAGAAAGTGAAGGATCATTATAGAGTTCCCAAAGGCTTAATTATGTTTCAACTCCACTTTGAGCCATAAAAACTTTCAGAGAGCTTTATAAAACAACAATACTGTATGGGGTTGAATAATTGTGACATGGCGATCTTAACAAGATACACTGTTACACACAAATACTACATAATTCATTGTCTGTTGATTTTGTTTCACTCAACTCATAAAGATGTCATCCAAAGCAGAATCTTGCTTTTTGACACAACTTTAATTGATAAATCCTTAAAATATTTGAGGGATTGAATATTTCTGATTGCAACTGTAGCTGTATTTGCCTCCATGTGATCACCCAGGATCCTGTCTCTACTTTTTTGTTGTTTGTGTTCCTTTATTTTCGCATATGTGAGTAGAATTAGCATTTTGTCAAAGGAGGCACGCACCTCATCATTTCAGTGAACGTATTTAATGCATACATTTTGAACTATAGAACTACATGAGTGTGTTTGCATCTACACCTGCATGGGTTTTACCTCGGCATGGACACAAAAAACAGAGCAAGTAGCTTTGACAGGTACCTTTTCTATGAAAATAATGTGAGGAATGCAAGGGCGTAAGAGAGACAAGGAAACGAGGTGCTTGTAGCATCCATTTTTTGCTTGCTTTTTTTTTGTTATAGAATTACACAGCAGGATAAGTCACCGGAACAGGTCAGGGCAAGTGCTTTGCTCAAGAGTTCTACATCTGGCATTTTCACAAGGCCTGAGATTGTGATCTTCAAAGTCCGGCTCTTTAACCACTGTGCTACCTGCCAGTTAATGGCATAGGAGATAACTGTGATTAGATATAAGACGAAGCAATGGGAAGCGGCGGGAGAAAAAGCTAACTGTGTTATGCAATGTGGGGGATGAGATGAGGGTGTGCTGTAATCGTAGGTAACAGGAAGTGAGGTAATGCGATTTCCTGTCACACAGTGAATTTATGCTCCCGTCTGCAGGGCCTCTGCGGGTGGCGGTCGCCATGGCGTCGGTGACAGCGTATGTGGGCGACACGGCACTGCTACGCTGCGAGATGCTGGGTGAGCCGGCTCCGGCAGTGCGCTGGCAGAAGGACCGGCGGGACGTGCCGCTGGACCCCGGGGGCCGCGTGGTGGCCCTGCCATCCGGCACGCTGCAGCTTCGCGGGATCCGTCCCTCCGACGCAGCTGCCTACCGCTGCCTGGCCCAGACCCCCGGAGATGCCCGGACGGGCACGGACACCACGCTGCGAGTCATTCCAGGTGCGTCTGCCCAGCGCTCCCCAAACTGTTGCCGGTGCTTCGGAGACCTTGGCTGCCGTGGTCAATTCACACCGATGTGTCTCATCTAAATGTGCTTGAAGTGTGAAACAAGGAATACCTCCATATCTTGCTTTCCAGCTGTGTTGATCGATGGCAGAGACAAAACAGCTCTGGCATGGTGCCGTGGTTGTTTGTTTTTTTATGTCTGACTGCTGTCTGATTGGGTACACGGGCGGAACCGGGCCACAGAACTCATCGCACACCACATGTTGACTGGTGATGGTACCAGAATCCTTTTTTTTTACCCGCCACCGAAGTCCGCGCTCGCCATCTTTCCACAGCTGTCATCCCGTCCCACAAGAAAAACGAAGTATCGGTGGAGCAGTTTTTCATTTTGCTGTGGCCCCGCAGTGAGTCAGTTTGATGGAGCCTCCGATGCAATGAGCCGCTGGGCAGGCAGGCGGCCAGTCTGGAGAGGGTCCTCCGGGGCCACGTCCACTGTTCAAGAGCTAGAGGAGAAGAACGCCCACCATTGCAGCACAAAGCATTATTACGTGGCACTCGGGTGCATCCTAAGAATTTTGCGGGCAAGTTGGTCCAGGTAGAAGGTTAAGGGGAAGCAGTGCCAGTCAAATACAGGGGCCAGTGATGGCCATAACTCTGTCATGTTAATGTTATTCTTCAAAGTCAGGTCCAGTCTGCACTCTGTGAAAGTGTTAAGCGGGTTTCAGACGGAACGCGGCATGCGCTGCGCTTTCCTCTGAAACCTATTATTCTCTATGGCTTGCGCGGCGCAAGAGCGATTTTGCGCTGCGCGCCACTCGGTGGCCTTGTGCGCGCACCGCGGTCAAAGTTGAAATTTGTTGAACTTTGACCGCTGCGCGCCGTGACGCATTT